CGGAAACAGAACAAAATAAAGAGAACCTCGATAGCACATCATCAAAACCGAAAACTCCAGTTGAAATAGATGACTCGTTGATTTCTTACAATCTAAATAAAAGATAGAATAAATAAATTATCAATATCAAAGGAAATTAAAATGAAAGATGCAAAATAAAATCGTTGATTTCTTACTCCCTAAATAAAAGATAGAATAAATAAATTATCAATATCAAAGGAAATTAAAATGAAAGATGCAAAATAAAATCGTTGATTTCTTACTCCCTAAATAAAAGATAGAATAATGGATTAGTTAAATAAATTATCAATACCAAAGGAAATTAAAATGAAAGATGCAAAATAAAATGACGAATTCTTACACCCATAATCAGCACTAATCAAAAAGTTGATAATTAATTAATAGGTATTAAAAGAAAACAATAATCTTAATTATAATTTTTTTTTACCGTCTTTCTTCACACTCATGGGTCAATTTAGCCTCCATTGAATTATTATTATTATATAAATAGAATTAGAACAGAGGTGAAAAAATAACTACGGAATAGGAATTTTGCATACTTATCGATCAAATTCAAATTGTGACTTTAGGACACCATCTTTAATATTAATTACCTCATGCAATAATTCTTTTACTGTCTTAGCTGATTTTAATGCAACCACTTTACTATCCCAAGCAGCTTTGTACACTTCACCAAATCCACCCTTGGCAATTTTCTCAACATTAGTAAACTTTTTGAAGGGTATTTTCTTAATTCCAGGTGTCAATCGAATAAACTTTTGAATTTCTTTCTTATTCTTGTACGCTTTGTACACTTCAGTAAACTTTTCGAAAAGTATTTTCTTAATTCCAGGTGTAGATCGAATAAACTTTTCGACTTCATTATTTGATTCTATGTCTGCCATAGGACGAACGATAATTTACTCTCTGTGCACCATGTTTGCTGAGAAAATATCTCACGGCGTGCGCAAGTTGATCCGATTTGGCCCTGATTCAAAAACAAAATGATTGATGAACTTTGTAGTTATTTTTCTGATTGGACGATGACATTTGTTAGTCGAGTTGGTTTTACTTCAAAAAAGAAGCTAGTTATAAATCCAAACTTTGTAACACATTCATTGACAAAAATAAGACTGATGGCAACATAATTGGCTCAGGTTCATTAAAATGGATTGCGAAGTAAAGAACTATCAATTGCATCCTTGACCAATGAGAGTAATCTACAGTTTGCAGCTATAGTCCGATTTCATACTCTTCGCCAAATACCAGCAAACCTTTAGTCATCATCATGCATTTCTGTTACCCGATTTGTTATTGAATTATTATGTTGGACATGATTTCAGAACCTTTATTATATGTACGATATTGTTTTAATAGAGATAAATAATAACAAACATGTTAAATATCATAATGAATATACTATTTGGATAATTTCAACTTGTAAATGATTGTATATAGTAAAAAAGACAAGTCATTTCATGGTCCTCCTGTCTTGACTTGTTGTTTCAAGAAATTTTAATCCATTTAACCGGTCATTTCGTTTTGCAGCAAGACGTGAAGCAAAAGTAGATGTAGTTCGGGGTTTCGGGATTTGCTTTTTTTCTGTATATACAATATCAATATTTAACGAAACGATAATTTGCTATCGCAAAAAAAAAGGATTCCACGAATCATAAAGTTTTATTTTACCTGTCGATGATACAACTGATTTAGGTGTCGACAGTTTTGTAATCATTCCTCGCGACATTAACATTGACTTGCCTTGTCCATCACGAGCTGCTTGATCAGATGTTCTTTTTGAATAGGGCGACGAAAATGTCGACAAGCCATTTACATTGTTGTTATTGTTGACGTTGTTATTCGTATTAGATGGATTAATGGTAGTTCGACTCAAAAAGAACTTTTCTGCTTCCAGGTCAATATTGTTGCTTTTAATCTCTCGCGATAAAAATGATTTAGTTGAAGAATATTGCGAATTCCTTATACTATTACTAGTATTCCTTGATATTGCTGACAATATCCGATTTTCAGAATTCCCATTATTCTTTTGTATTGATGATACATCTTTATTATTGTTATCAATTTCCAAAGGACCAAGTAACAATCGATGAATTGAGCGAACTACTTGATTCGGTGACTTGAAATCCGGCATTTCGAAATTCTGATCCCTAAATGATTTAGTAGAAGTTGGAGTCAAACAGGCGGACGTGTCTTGATCTAGCGCGACTATTTCTTTCAATTGCTTGAGAGCTTCATTAGCTTGTTCTTCTAGTTGCAGAATAGATGAATTGTCTGTTTTTTGATGTGGTGGCTTGTTTTCATCTGATGCAATGGTGAATTTTGAAGGTTCAATATGTGTTGTCGACAACGATAATGAAGATGACAACGAGAGATTTGGCTTGCTATTTATAATATTTCCTATTGTGTTGGTAAATTTGTCGGTTGAGTTTTTTGTTGCTGTTAAAGAATATGGTAAAGGTTCTTCAATAATTGCATCCAACGTTCCATGTCTTTTGAGACTTATATCATTATTGCCATTACTATTAATCCCATATCTGTTATGACCAAAAAATTATCTCAACATCCTTTGTGATTTCCAGAAGACGAATTAAATCAAAAGATACAAACTTTTTTTGCACATTATTCATCATCGCTGAATCTCGAATTTCTGTACTTAGAGGTGGCATCACAACATCTAGAGATTCAATATCGTCGCATCGAATTTCATTTTCGTATTCTTCGTTGTCAACAGCGTCGTTGATATCCAAAGTGTCATTCAAGAAATCTAAAGCATCAGGAATTTCTTGGATTTTACATTCGAACCATTTTAGTTAATTCAGGGAATTGGTCTTTTATTTACAATTGAATAAATTAATAGTAATTCATACCATCAATAAGCGTATTGAAGATAGCAGCGCTCTCTCTCCGAGAACGTTTTAGAAGCAGGTCGTCGTCATGTTCATTTTTATTGTTATCATTGAGACGAAGTTTGTTGAAATCAAACTCAACGGTTTCAAATAGAAAATGATCTTTTGAATTATTTTCTATGTTACTAGTTTGGCGAAGAAACTTGTCAATTGCAAGCGTATCTTCGTTTCCGTCGTCGTTATTGTTCATTATTATTATTTCAAAAAAAAAACATGCTAAAACGAATTCCAATACTTTTTTATTACGTCACGCGTCATAATTTTAGGATCAGTTCGGCAATGGAAAAACGTGATTAGAGAATTATGGTTTAATTATAATAGTTAATTAAGTTACAACTAATTACAATTCTATTTTTAGTCTTATTATTATATATGGGCCGGTGCAAAAAGATTGGTACACCAATTTGCTTCTAATAAAAATCATTCAAATCTTTATAATTTTTTATATTAAATAAAGAATGATCTAAATTAACTTTTTATACTATTTTAATTATTCTATTATACTTTAATTTAAGCATTACTTTACTAAAAAAACTAAATAAAATTATTTTTTTTAAAAAAAAAGATATTTTAAAATATTATCACTATCAATTTGCAATATTAGAACTTTAAACCATGTAAGCAGATTGCTTTAGATTTAATAAATATATATTTTAAATTTCATAAAAATTGAATCAATAGTTATAAAGATATTAAGATTTAAAGTTTAGTAATTAAATTATTTACTATATAATTTTTATATTAATTTTAATTAAATTTTATATAGTGAAATAATAATTCAAAAAAGTTTATATTGATAAAAATTTTTTTATAAAAGATATATAATAAAAATTTATATATTTAAATAAATTTCAATATTTAATAACTTAATTAAATAAAACAGAATTAAAATTTTATTTTGAAAAAATAATCTATTAATATTTATCTGATGTATTAATCTTTTTGTATCAAATCATAATTTAAAATATTTTTATTATAAATTACTTTTACTATAATATGAAATTTTATACAAAAGTCACTCTTGATATAATAAAGTGATCAGATCTATATATAAAAATTTCAAAAACTTTATTATATTATATTGAGTGAAATTATTATATAATTTATAAGAATATTTATTATATATAATATTAACTTTATATATTATACAATGACAATTAAAAATAATGCAATGCTTAAATTTTTTACTAATTATAATTAGTAAAAAATTTAAGTATTGCATTATTTTTGATTATTATCATATATATTATTTATTTTATATAATATATTTTATTTATATTACATATATAATACAAATAATTTTTGAATTTAAACTTCTAATAATATAAGTATTTAAACAAAAAGTTAATAAATGAAAAGAAAAACTTGAGTTATATACATATAAATATTATAAAAAAAAATTATTATTTATTAATTCTTAATATTATATAAAGATAATAATTAGTTATTCAGAATTAAAATTTATTTTTTATAATTATAATTAGAATTGCAACTCTTAGCTATAATCATAAAAAATAAAAATAATAATATTATTATAATTTTATTTATAAGTTTATAATATTATAAAAATAAACTAAAATAATTATAAAAAATAGTTTAAAAATATTTATAACTATTTTTTTAAATTAAATAATATATAAAAAATATTATAATTAAAAATTCTATTTATTAAAAAGCTCTTTTATAATTATTCTTTTTATATTATTAGTTAGAATTTAAATTAATTATGAATTAATATGATTATAAAGAAGTTAACTATATTATAAAAATGAAATTTATTAATTGTCTGATTTGTAACATTCATAAATAATTAGCTTATCAAGTCAAGCTTTGCTATAATGATAGATATTTTATTTCTAAAGGAAAGGTTGTCAAGTAAAGCATTATACAAATAATTGAAATTGCTCAATAATCTATATCTATACATATTTATTTTATTAAAAGTTAAAAATTAAGAAATTATAATTAATTAATAAATTATCAAAATAGTAAATAATATCTAATCCCATTCAAAGTCCCAATTTTTACGAGTGATATATCTTTCTTGTTTTGACTCGCTCAACTTGTTTATCTTTGTGAAATCTTCATCAGAAAGCGCAAAATCTTGATAGACCTTTTCCGCTAAAGAATTATTTATTCCCGCGGCGACAACTGAAGTGCCACGTTTTACAGCCCATGAGGAAAGCACTTGCTGTATGGTCTTCTCGTTTTTCTTTGCGATTTGGTTAATGACTTCATCCGTCCTTAATGCTGAACCGGCAACACCAAACGGTGAATATGCAGTTACATGAATTTTTTTTGAGTTGCAGAATTTTAAGAGGTCATCCTATTTTTAAAGCGATCGGTAGAATTTTTATTCGAGTTGTTTGTTATACGCCTACACATTTAATCAAACCTAGAATAGAACAGGTATATTTATGAAAGAAAAAAACCTACTTGAGGAAGATAGGGATGCATTTCAACTTGATTTACAGCTGGTGGAATTTTCGCCTTCTTCAATAACTTTTCTAATCGTTTTATTCCAAAATTTGCAACACCAATAGCCTTAACTTTTCCTGACTCTAACAGAGATTCCATTGCGTGATAAGTGTCTACGAAATCAATCGAGTCATCTATTTCAACTGGAGTTTTCGGTTTTGATGATGTGCTATCGAGGTTCTCTTTATTTTGTTCTGTTTCCG